TAAATAAATAGTAATAAAATAAAAAATTTAATTTTGTACAGACGTTGTAGTTCCCAAATATAGCTGGTAAGACTCCATCTTTTTCTTTCATTTTGGATCTGCATGAAAACAAAATAAAATGTGTAAAATACAAAGTATTATTGAACTGCATAAACTATTAGCATGAATAAGATTCATGTTGTATTATAGTACTGCTATGATGGTGTGGTTTTTTTGTAGCACCACTTACTGTATCTGCCGATGGTGTTGCATCCCAAAGAGCTCATTGAGCCTATCCTGTCCATCCGCCGCCCGAAGCAGCCAGATGTTTTCTTGGATGAGTCATTCCGAAGGTTTTTAAGGTTTTTGGCCGACAGAAATTCCCTGATTTGTGTTTCATCCAATCCAGTCTGTGGCTGATCTTCATCTACCTCATCCTCCATGCTGACGAGACTCTCTATCTCTGCAGGGACCCTCTGGTTCATCTGGGTCTGCTCTGAAACAGACTCCTCCAGTTTGTGAAGGAGAACCTGAAATATCCACATTAGCACGAGATTAAACTTTGATTATTGTTTTAGGGATGCACATTCATAAAAAGGACACTTAAACAGGACTTCTTCATAAATAATAATAAAGAGAATCAACAAACATTCAAAGTATGATCCTCCCCCCAAAATTTTAATCACTTTAAATTAAACAGCCACTCCATTATCTATTATATCCCAGTCAATGTGTTTGATAACAATGATTTCAATTCTAATTTTAACATTGGTTTAAAAACATGCATGTCTATTTTAGTATTAGACTCACCGTTAAGATGTCCATATCTGTTCCAGTGAAACCAGTGTTGATGGGATGTGTACCACACAGCTGTAGGTTCAGGATGAGGAGAAGGCCACAGAGYAGAACGGAGGATGGGTGCATTGTTTTTCGAGAGCTGCTGCTGTTCATATCGGTGATGAGTTGATCTTATAGTGGCTGTATTGATGCTGAAGTCCACATCCTCTGCTCTTTTATACTTCAGCCTGGCTCACAGAGCAATGCCAGGAATCTGAGATCAGGCATTACGCATTCTAACACCTGATTCTGATGACAGGAGCTGGCGGAAACGACTCCTTATTAAGTATTGTATCTCAGATATGGAGCAGCAGCGCAACAGTTTATCCCATATGCTACTTTGTTTTTGAAAACTAGTCATCACCCCCAGTGTTGCTAAATTTAAGAGTCGACGTGATCCTGCCAGTGTAACCCAGTGATCGTTTGACAAAAACTCCAGTCTGAAGCAGGAAGAAGTCTTAAAATGTCTCCTCTAAATTAAGGGTTCCCAAACTGTTTTTGTATTTGACAATGTAAAAGTCTTGCAATCCCAAATATCTTTGGTGAAACTACAAAAACYTTGCTAAAAATGTAAATAAATTAAAGGCCTAGCCTTACTTGAAAGAAGGCCTGTCAACGGTGGCCTTTTAGCCCAGAATCATAAGCCTCTTTCATAAGTCAAATCAYCGAAATTGCCAAAATTGCCCGGCTTTATCCCCCAAAATCACAGGAGAAGCTGAGCCGATCCCGCACACATGTACGTGTTCATAAACGAACCCAACAGTGAGGAACCAAACGAGGCATGGAGCTGAACTCAGCTGGACCGAAGTGGACCTGCTGCCTCGTATCAAACAAGTCATTCTTTTGCAGTTAAATATTTTTAAACTAACTACACAGTTGCTGTTCTGTGTCATTTTTAATTTTCCCTCAGCAATAAATCTGTAGATTAATCCTCCGCCGCTCACTGGCTCTGCGTTGTATCAGGAAAAAGGAAGGAAATCTGATGTGAACCGGTTTTTGAACTCTGAATTAATGCCAAACTCCAAAACAGTTTGGAGATTTTATTGTTAATGTGCAAGGCTTTGGTGTGGTTCTGGAT